CCATTTTCTCCAGCCCCCACCCACCAATTCCTCTGTGAATTTATTATACATCAGTATTATAACTTCATAACTTATATATGTGTGTGTGTAACTTTCCAAGATCTAGATAATAAATATTAAGCTTTCCCCTTCCTTTTACAATGTCCTAATGGAGTAAACAAAATAGTATATTGTTAACCACTTCGCTTATTTCACGATTGGTCATTTCTTCAAAAAAAGTTTTATAATATATTTTTTAATAAATTATTTTATGTCAACATTAGTATATTTAATTACTCATATTTGTATATTTTTCATAATCCCAGGTATTTTTCACAAGCTATGAAAGTTTGCCATCTTTGTCTGTGTATTTCTTCGATTACCCTTACATGTCCTACATTTTGTGAGGTGTTATCAAGCCGTGAATGGTTGAATCCATGGGGGAAAAAATCCATGGATATGAAGGGCTAACTGTATGTAATATAGCTGTAAATAAACCCTATGAAATTAATTTATATGAGCATTTTTAGATTTTATTGGTCATGCCTTCCATTTTTCCTGAATGTCCTCCATTTTGCAGAGCCTTTTCCTCCTTTGTGGGCCTCTGGTCATCCTGTCCACCATGCTTATATTTATTGTATTTTGTCAACCTTTCACTTTGATTCCCAAACTTTAGTTCTACAAATGGTTTGGGTTTCAACTCCCAGAAGCCCCCAGACAGCTTGGCCAACAGTCAGGAATCCTGGGACCAGAAGTCCAAAACATCTGGAAAGTTGGGGAGCCACTGCAGTTTTAAGGCAATGTTGTCCTTCATCTCCATGAACACCAGTTTTGCAAAAGAAAATGGCAATCGAAAAGTAAGCATGGTGGGAAGTAAAATAGGATTCAATGTATATGGGGGGTACAGACACATTTAAACATCTGTAAAAAAACTGAGGGAATCTTTTAGATAACTGAAGGGAAAAAAAACAGAAATGATGTAATTTTCTGACAAAAATATAACGCACTTATCATCAGAGGAACAAGGGAAGTGTTGTGTAAAGCTGTTGTTATTGTTATGTGATATACAATAACTACAGACGAGACTTAAGCTAGAGATGTCATATTTTTGTATTGCAACTTCAGAAATAATTTACATAAGCTTGTAAAATAGTGTTAAATAAATTATAATAAAGAAGAAGAAAAACCACACTGCCACGCTTCTCTTTGTGGCTTATTATTATTAAGCATCCTTACTCCAGAGCAAGAGGCTCTGCTCCCAGGCAAAAGGTAAGTGAGGTCCAAAACACACTGCAGAAATAATCTGCTTTGAGACCACTTTAACAGTGCTAGGGATCCTGGGAATTGTAGTTTATTGTGGCACCAGAGCTCTCTGAATTGTGAGTTTCTCCACGGCAAGGGTTGGACTGCACAGCCTTTGTGGTCTCTTCCAACTCTCTGACAGAGAAGGCTAAATGCCTCACAAAACTACAATTCCCAAGAGAATTGTACAGGAGAATTACGGGAAACACAGAATTATTTTTTATGTGTTAACGGCTGCTAGATTAGTATATGCAAAAAACTGGAAAGTAAGAACAGAAATACAAATTGATGAATGGTTCATTAAATTGCTTGATGTGATGTAGGTAGATACAATGACAAAAAGATTTAAATTAAAACACAAAGGAAATGTACACGGAAGATTGGGATAAAGTACAGTGCATGTATACATATATAAAGAATTAGAAGGGGAATATCAGGTTACGGGACGTTTTAAATGTACTCTATGGTTGATTTGTTATTTGTTTTTAATGTTCAAGAGGATGCAAGTATACATATGTTTGTTTTTGTGTAGCAAATTACCTGAACAGAGATTTGAGACCCAGATAGGGTCAAAAAGAACTTAAGTTTACTAAAAGTATTTGGCTTAGCTTCAAGGAACTACAGTTATACCTCTTATTCTTATTTTTAAAAATTGTTTTATGTTGATTTTAACTTGTATTGATTGATTTAATAAATGTTTTAAGGGGGGGAAGGGAATTTGATTTGTTTTATATTATGTATTATTTTACTGTTGTAAGCCACCCCAATTGATCTCAGAGGGGCGGGATATAAATAAATTGTATTATTATTATTATTATTATTATTATTCTAAAAGTCTGTTCTTTCCTTCCCTCACAGATTTCCTCATACAAATAGCATCGCTATTCAAGCATTCAAGAACACAGAAGATCATCACATTCATCATTCACTCTCACAGATTAAAACACATTTCTAGCAATTATAATTGGCATATATTGACTACCATGGCACTATAGCTGTTTAAATAATTTTTTTAAAAAAACACCCTACAATTCCCAGGATTCCCTAGCACTGAGCCAAGGCAGTTGAAGCAATCCCAAAGTGGGTTATTATTTCCGCAGAGTGTTTTGGACTCGAGGCAACCGCCTTCTTTCCTTTTCAGCAGCAGCAGCAGCCGCCATTAAAAGCCTAGGGCCATAAAATGGGCAGAACCACGTGGTTGGAGGCCAAGTCCAGCGCCACGTGCTCCCCTTTACTTCCTTCCTTCCTTCTTCTCCTCGGCCTCTTCCGCCCGTCCGAGCCTACCTATCACAGCCAGCCGCCCTCTCAATCCTGCCTCTCTATTGGCTCGATCCTCTTCGTCCCGCCTCCCGCTCAGGCGCGCGTTCCCATTGGGCGGGTCCGGGCCAGCCGCCCGCCATTAGTCCATCCCGCGCGTTCGGAAGGAGGCGCCCGTCCATCTTGGGCGAGTGGGCGTGACCAAGGGGGCTGAGCGAGCTCTGATTGGCTGAGGCGGCAGCGTGGGGCGTGAGGTAGAGTTAAGCCAGCCTTGGGTCCTCGTTCTTTTCGGCTCAGGCGGAGATCCGAGCGAGGCGCTGGGAGCGAGCGGTGGTGCTTTTCTTTCACTCCGCATCCGGACACAACTCCGCCATCATGGTGAAGCTAGCCAAGGTGAGGAGGCCTGAGGCCTAGTCGGGAAAGAGAGAGCGCCCGCCTTTCCTTGCCTTAAAAAGGACAAAAAGGAGAGAGAGAGAGAAAGGCCTCTGCGCGCCTGCGCGGCGGTTTCTAACCCCCCCTGCTTTCTCCTCAGGAGAATGGAAGGAGCTGCGGTTTCAAGGCTTCCCCATCCTTCGCTCCTCGCACATTTGGCCTTTTATTATTGGCTCCTTGCTTGAAGCCTGCGGCGCACGCGCGGTTGGCCATGGAACCCTCGGCGGTTTCTAGGCTTCCCCCTCCTCTCTCTCTCTCTCTCTCTCTCTCTCTCTCTCTCTCTCTCTCTCTAATTATTAAACTCAACGGGCGTCAGTCGATGGGGGAGCGGACGAGGCGGTTTCTAGGCGCCCCCTTTTTTATGATCGATGTCCCCCCTCTCGCGCGCGGCTCTTTTTTTTTTTCCTTTCTTTCGATGTGCGCGTGCGCGCGATGACGTCGCTGGCTGGCTGGCGCGCGCGGGGAGAATATAAAAGGGAGGGCCGGCCGTTAGTTGGCGGCGGTGGCGCGCGCGTCCCCTCGCTTCGCTGCGGGCCACGTGACCCGGGAAACCTCACGTGGAGGGGGCGGAAGTGGGCTCCCGAGGGCTTCCACGTGTGAGGCGCGTGTGCGTTTCTCATTCTTCCTGAGAGGATCCCTTCCTTCCTGTAAGGCCAGGCTTGATCCACCCGCCAGAGCGAGCGAATGCGGAGTCCTTCCCTCTCCTTTGTGGCAGGGAAACACTCGGTCTCGATGGCTTTTCTATTCGGGGCCATATTTTGTTAACCCTATTTCGGCTGGCACGTTGCAAACCGTCCAGAACCT